ACTAATTCTTATTTGTTATATTTGTTATTATTAGGAGAAGGTTCTTACGACAGAAAAAATCCTGAAAATCCTACGGGAACGGGAGAAAACTGGTTTGCGCGTACGAAGTCGCGGGCAGAAGCTAGTACTTAGATAAGTCGCGGAGAACCTAACGGGTAACCGGGGCTCCGGCTCGATGTGCAGGAGAAGGAACGGGGTGGTTTTTAGTCAGTAAGAGTCTGACACTCCCTCCCGCCTCACCCAGGTGGGAGCAGTCATTCGATGATTTTCCCTCCTTAAAAAAAAAAGTACTTAGATAAAATGGAGTTAAGTTTAGGAGTCGTTACATCACAACGTGCTGTAAAATGTGACACGCTGTGACGTCACGATATTTCAAATGAATAATAATAATATATCGTCGAAAGTATTTAATTTTGAGACAAAAGAAAAAATACGTGTCTTTTTTTAAGGGGGGAAAATCATCGAATGACTGCTCCCGCCTGGGTGAGGCGGGAGAGTGTCAGACTCTTACTGACTAAAAACCACCCCGTTCCTTCTCCTGCACGTCGAGCCGGAGCCCCGGTTACCCGTTAGGTTCTCATGTTTTAAATCAATCTACCAGACGGACATTAAAATCAAATTTAGGAAACTACCGTATTAACTAAAAATCGCAGTCGCGGCGATGTCGCGCAACCTACTCTACTAAGACCGAGCACGTTGCTCATGAGGTAGGACCCCTCTGTGGTTCGAAAATAGTAGAGCTCAGTATATTCACGTGAGTAACCCGCGATTTTAGTTAATTTAGTATGTCTCACGATAGTTATTATAAAAACTAATGTATTGTACCTCAGCAACCATCTAAAATTACATATAGAGGAAGGAAGGAAGCAACATAATTTTATCGTATTAAATGTAATCGGAAAAAAAATTCCTACTCTAATTTTCCTTATTTATAAATACACACATAAACATAACATAACACCACGCCTTTTATCCCCGAAGAGGTAGGCAGAGGTGCACATTACGGCACTTAATACCACTGTGCAATGTTAACACCCACTTTTCAAAATTTATGTTATGAGTCCCTTGTAATACCGACGGCACCGACTTCTAACCTATTAGGGGGTGGGTAACCTATCAGTATTTTAGTTTAGACTTTTTGTTCGTTATTACTTTTTAGTTTTTTTGAAGTCAGTTTTACAAACGCAGTTTTTATTTTATTTTTTATCATTTTCAGTGTAAAGTTACATAGATCCGTTTTGTCACTTATAATCTGCATAGGTGCAAAGTTCTAATCAATACAAATTATACAAGCCCAAACACAAGGTAGTTACTGTATACCGTTTAGAAGTTCGCTTAACAAATACACTTCTTCATCATCAGACCCTTAATGACAGTCCTACTCTATCTAGGTGTAAAGTCCTCATCAATACAAATTAATCAAGCCCAAACAAAAGGTAGTTACGCCTCAACGATATACGTTGAGGCGTTCTCTCGACTGTCTGTCGGCTCCATCATCAGGTCGACTCCAGACCCTTATCAAATTGTAGTGTTTAAAAATCCTAATTGAAAAACATAATAGAAGCATTACTCGCCCCTAGAATTTTCGAAAGTTCCCTTCGGTTTCCCTAAGATCCCATCATCAGATCCTGACCATGGAACCTAAAATGGGACCATCTTGGGAATTTTGGAAATCGGTTTACATATGGCGGAGTACTGCGCGAACAAACAAAAAAAAAACAAAAAAAAACAATCAGCCGAACATGGTACCTCCTCCTTTTTTTGAAGTCTGTAAAAATGGAGATGGACTTGAATTTAATTGGATGGAAAAATCAAAATATTTTTTTTTTGACCCAGGAAAGTACCCAATTATTTCACATCAACAGCCTTCAAGTGGCCACTGCTGACCAAATGCCTTTGCTCACAAGTTGAAGGTTTGAGTATAGAAACTTATTTAAAAAAAACTTTTTCGTCGCTATTGCTTGTTATTTACTTCAATGACTTAGGATAAAAAAAAAACATACGCAGTAGCCGGTCGGTACATCAGAGAGAATTTCATATACACACAACTATACTCAATGATATCATAAGAATCGAAATGATAATATATATTTATCATTTGTATACGTATGACGATATAATACTACGTGTATACGATACAATATTAATTATTAATAAGTCACCTTGAACTTGAATCGATTTTCAATTGCTTTATTTACTTCTAGAAAGGTCTGCTGCGATATAAGATGATATATCGTGTTTTTTATTGAGAGAGAAAATCATCCAATGGGTTCTCCGATTCTTTGGCATCATTTCTTTCTTTATTGAAACAAAGAGTTTCCTTTTTTTCTTGTATAGAAGCACTATTTCTATGGATTGTCAGTATGCATATGTGAGCACCATGTTAGACTATAAGATTTTTATTATTCTTTATTTTACTAAGTTATTAGTATAATACGTCAAGGGTGTCTTTGCATTGTTCTTACATATGCGTACAGTATTGAAATATGTATCAAAAACATTGTAGAACATACGTTTTTAAAAAGAGTAACGAATGGAGTTTCTTGCTCGTTCTTCTTCATTCGAATCTACATTTTGGAATGAGCACCTAGCTTCACCTAGCTTCATTGACGGACTGACTGACAGACTATTATTTATTTTGTATTTGTTGACGTTTCAAAAGTACCAAATTATGGTTTAATTGAAATAAATGCTTTGACTTTGATTTTGTGAAGCCAGAGGGAGTGTCAGACTCTTACTGACTAAAAACCACTACGTTCCTATTTCCTGCTTAGAACCGGAGTCCCGGTAACCTTCTACGTTCCCCGCGGCGGGCTGATGCCGATACGGAGACACGGAGGACTTAACGGCTTGTCGGGGCTCCGGCTCGAAGAGCAGGACTGGGAATAGGGTGGAAATAAGTCGATGATTTTCCCCCTTAACTCGTCGAGTACCGTCATTATAGACACAATTATAGAACAATAGGTTGCGGTCACCGGTGACCGCTTGGTGTCGGTCACCGGTGACCGCTTGGTGTTTGACAGTCCTGTATAGAACCAGGGCCGCGATAACTTATTGCGTTTCATCCGGAACCCCAAAAGTAATGTACATTTATGTATGAGACTGAAACTGACCATCGACAAACAAAAACTTAACAAAAAAATCCAACAAACCTAAATCTAATTTTTAAGATTCACTAATCCATCATCAGGTAGATAAGTGACGTTTTTCGACTTCGAAAGCTGATACGCAATGTCCTCAGCCGCCTCAATCCTTCTTAATTCCACCAGACCTTCTCCAGCATTCCCAAACGCCTTTGCAAGAAGCACTGCCTGCTGAGAATCACCTTCTGCCGAAATCACTGCAGCCTTTTTCTTCTGTTCTGCCTTTTCCACCATGAACCTCGCTTTCTCAGCTTCTAATTGTGCTATTTGTTTTAGCTCAACTGCTTGTAAAAACTCCCTGCCAAAGGTTATGTGTGTAATCGCGATATCGTCCAAAATTAGACCAAATTGCCGAGCCCTTTCGGTCAAATTTTCATTGACCTTATAAGAAACCATTTCTCTTTGAGTTATAAGTTCACTGGCATCGAATTGGGCTACGACAGCTTTTAAAACTTCTCCTGTAATTGATGGTAGGACTCTGGTGTCGTAATCTTCTCCTAAAGTCGTGTAGATTTTTGGCAATTCATCTGCGACTGGTCTGAACAGGATTCTCAAGGTCACTTCGACGCGTTGAAGGTCCTTGCTTCCAGTTATGGTCGAAACATTACGAGGTTTCGATTTAATATCGAAAATAATTGGTTTTTGCACCCAAGGGATGATGAAATGTGTGCCTTCGCCGATTACTTGTTTATTTATGCCCTTGAATCTATCGAATATAACCGCTCTTTCTCCACCATCGACGTTGTATAACGCATTGTTGGCTACTCCACTTGTGATCACGATTCCGGCGCCTAACTGCGCTAAGCGGCTGAAGAATTTCGATGACATGGCGTATTTTTTCAAATTGTTATTCAATTCCCAGTACAAAAAGTTCAAAATCACCCGAAAATTCTAGAACCTCAATTTCTTTCTAGCCCAAAAGACGTCCATTAACAAAACACAGTCATAAAAAAATCCCAAGAGTCGCAGTTCAGCACTTCGAAAACTAAATTTACAGTTCCCAGACGACTTTTCAACAAAGTATTCATTAACTAAACACCTTCACATATCTGAAAACATTTAGCCACTTTCCTTTTAGCACTCCTCTCGATAATAAAGACATAACAATTACTACAAATCTATACTTTATTTCACACACATGCAAACCCGAAAAATTCCCTAATAGCACACAACTTTGCGGATATTTTTACAGCACTCGCTATGGAAAATCTTCCATAATTGTTTGCTGGCTGGAGGTCTGTTAAACACTGGTTACATTCAAGGTGTTTCAATTAACGTGTTGGTAATATATCAACGCCATATATGACACATTTGCTTATGTAGTTTAGGAGCTCGTGACGTTGATATTATTGTCATGTCATGTCAGTGATTTTTTTTCACGAGATTGTCGGGTTGTGGATGGTACTTAAATTTAAAGTATGAAATAACCATTAGTTATCATCATCATCAACAGCTTATAAGTGGCCAATGATGACCACAATACAGGTTCCAATCACGGTTAAAAGAAAGAAAAATAGAAAAATTATTTACGAATAAAGAAGAAAGAAAGAATAACCATTTATTTCTGCGCAAAACACACATAACATATTTAAAAAATAAAAGAGAAAATAAAAAAAGCTAAAAAATTAAAATGAAGTGAAATGATAGAATATTATTACGAACAAGAATAGTTAAGAAAAAAATGTAGATCATTCTACTATTTTAACCCTATCGTAATAATTAATTCGATAACACAACATAAGGATGTTTTTATGACTCACTAGTGTAAAATCGATTAAAATCTATATCAATCTGTATGAATAACTCCGATAAACAGCCGGTTCATGTTGGTTACAATAAATATGTTCGTTAGCACTTCCCGAACTGTTTTTCCTGGTGTTATCAAAAGGGAGATTCTGTTATTAAATAATGGATTGATTTATGAACTGAATCGATTGTCGAAAAGCTGAATAGTAAGTTTTAATTCCCCTATTCGTTAAATATTTCTGGCCCCTTGTAAAATTAGCCTCTCTTGTCAAACGCTGGAGGTAAGCCTCCAAAGCTTGGAGAAGCTCATTGTCATGGAAAATGTTTAGGGGAGAAGGGCAAGAGGACGATCCCCAACCAGATAGTCTGCTCAGCCCAAGGACAACCCAGCATCGAGGTTCTGCACCACAATATATATGGCCGTTGACAGGAGCCGATCGGAGCAATTCGTCCGATCGATTCAATCGATCAATCTGGACGATCTTCAGTAATGAAGATTTCTTTCTTTCTTTCTTTCTTTCACCTGATGGTAAGCAATCGGCGCCGCCCATGGACACCCGAAACACCAATGCGTTACCGGTCTTTTGGGAATTGGAATTTGAGGATTGTGGAGGATTTGGGGATTCGGAAGACTAGGGAAGGCGATAATTGGGCCTCATATCGTAATTATTAGGATACTAGCTGACCCGACAAACTTCGTAGCGCCTAAAATTTTTTTTCTCTCCTTTTAAACCTTCCCTTGACTTCCAAGAACATTTCAAGACCAAAATTAGCTAAATCGGTTCAGCCGTTCACGAGTTTTAAGACTTTGACTGCCAATAAAAAAACTGTTGGGTTAAAAGGTAAATCCTCCGCTAACGCCGGTCACCGGTGACCCCCATGGCGGTTAAACTATCAAACACCAAGCGGTCACCGGTGACCGCAACCTATTGTTCTATAATTGTGTCTACAAAACCGGTACTCGACGAGTTAACGTGTTAAGCGAGCATAACGAACGGAAATTTCTTTTTATTTATATCAGTCCATCACAGTAAGATAAATATAATTCAAGTCAATACCATATCCTATTCCTAATACCTAAAATAAAAAAAAACAATAATACTATACCAGTCTCCACGAAAAAAATATATCAGTAAAAGATGATAAACAAGAGGCGTTATCTGTCTCCTAAACTATACGTGCAGTTTACGACGTCTCAGTGCGTGACACGTATCTCAAACTAGACAAAATATTTCCAGTAGCTACTAGATTATTTTTAGCTATAATAATTCAAACTCAGGAAATGTTAGTCACTAAGATAAAATGGTTGCTAAGGTGATTTTAGCACTAAACCCTAGGGTCATGATTGGCGAAATACCAGATTGCTCAAAACACCGAAAATAAGAGTGGAATTCTTTGACAGTCTGTCTTTCTTAAAGGGTGAATAGGTTGCTTATGGGGAGATGTGCTCCATCGTAGACCGCATCATAGCTTACCACCCGGCGAGATAGTTAAACGTCGTCTCATTACATATGTATATCAGGGCTGTCCAAACAAAGGCCCGCGGGCCGCTTGGGGACCGCTGCTTGTTTTCATGTGGCCCGCGATACACATTTTTGGTTATACGTACTTATAGCTTACACACCCACTGATAGATTAGAAGTCGGTGCCACAAACCCATTACAAAATATAAAGTAGTTAATGGTCACAGCTGGTATAATCCATAATAAAATTGTAAACAGCTTAATAATGTTAGGTAGGTATCTATTAAGGTTTTAATGAATAATTTTGTTTAAAACTTGTGGCACCGACTTCTCACCTATCAGTGGGTGTGTAAGCTATAAGTACGTACAACCTATAATAATTATTTATTTCCTTTTTAATCTCAACATCTTCATCTTATGTGCAACAATAATAATAATAAAATTCAGTCTATGATTTGTATGCAAGCTGTGTCTGTGAGTACAGAATACAATGTTAAACAGAATATCAGTAGAAGTAGATAGAATAGTTGCCATTATACCACTGAAAATTTTTCTGAGCCTTCAGATTTTTTAAGAAATTTAATTAGCCCGCGAGGGTATATAGTTTGGACAGCCCTGACATATATAACCGGCGAGCACAGCGAAGCTCAAGGGAGACACTCGTCTCACTTTTTTTTTAAGGGGGGAAATTCATCGAATGACTGCTCTTGCCTGGGTGAGGCGCGACACGCCGTACGCTCGGGTCTGTTTCTGGTCGGACGGGGAGCCACCCATGCTCGCCGTCCGCAGGCCCGCGCTTACGGTGGTCGGAGATCGTACACTCGTCTCCCTAGGAATGTGCCGTAACAGGCGTTGCACCGTGTGGACTCCAGAGCAGGTCTCTTTTAGAGGACCCAGTGCCCCTTACAGGTGTTAAGGGTGGGTACCGGGGTGGTTTTAGTCAGGTACAAATCCCACATTCCCAGTCTTACTCCCCAAAAAGCTAGGCGCATCTTGAAGGTTTCCCTCGTCATCAAAAAAGGTATAATGGTCGCTAGGATGACTTTAGCACGAAATGATTGGCAAAATACTTCTGTTTTGCTCAAAAACATCACTAGATAGTATAAAACAAAGTCGCTATCCGCCGTCTATCTGTCCAAATGTATGCTTAGATCTTTAAAACTACGCAACGGATTTTGATGCGGTTTTTTTTAAATAGATAGAGTGTAGTTAAGGATGGTTTATTTTTAATAGATAGCTTGATTCTTAAGGATGGTTTATATGTATGCATATTGCACTCGTGCGGAGTTGAGGCGAGTCGCTAGTTAAAAATAAGTAACGAAAATGATTAAACTTGCAACACCTTTTTCTCTATAAACATCAACTGCTAATGGCAGTCCACTGCTGAACTCCACTGGACCCTCCTCTACATAAGAGGGTTTATCATAATCTCCTCAATAGACGCACGGGTTAGATCGCAGTATAAAAGGTTCTGGTTTACCAGAGAGCGCTGCTGCCCGGTCTCTGTCTAATGTGTAGTCCCGGGTATACGACACCCACCAGCAAAATAGAGGTTAATGGTGACAAATCAAAGCACAGATGCCGGGCCTTTGTCAAAAGTTTACTCCCTCACTCAGGGTACACGACACCCACGAGAAGAGAAGAGGTGGTGACTGGTGACAAATCAAAGCACTGCTGCTTGACCTTCGTTAAATGTGTACTCCCTCACTCAGGGTATACGACACCCACGAGAAGAGAAGAGGTGGTGACTGGTGACAAATGAAAGCACTGCTGCTCGACCTTCGTCAAATGTGTACTCCCTCATTCAGGGTTTACGACACCCACCAGAAGAAAAGAGAAGGTGACTGGTGACAAATCAAAGAACTGCTGCTCGACCTTTGATGTGTACTCCCTCATTCAGGGTATACGACACCCACAGAAGAGAAGAGGTGGTGACTGATCAAAGCACTGCTACTGTAACATGCTATTGCTATTGCACAAGCTATTGTAACATGTTTCCCTTAGCTGGGGTACACGACACCCGCATCAAGAGCAGCTGTGGTGGAAAAAATCCACTGACCCCCTCGAAACAAGCGTTTTAAGTGTCCACTACGAACACAATATATCAGATAAGGGCACGTCAATTGATTGCTATCAGGCGTCTTTTATTAATTCCAACGATACTGTTATCACGGACTATTTGTCATAGGATTATAGTGATAAGCGAATATCTGTCGAGTGTGATGGTTCGAACATCTGTTTTTGTAAAAAATTCTGAATGTTTTTCTTATCTTAAGAGGTTCTGTAACCAGTTAATAATAGTTAGTTTTCGACAGTTATGTAATAACTATACTTCTTTAACCTTTAAGAAACAGAGAGTAAAGTTCCCTAAGATTGAAAAAGGAGGATCTTCCGATCAGGCTATGTGTGGCCTGGCGGGCTTTCTGCCCAACAGTTGTTGTCGGGTCATCTCTAAGTCGACTGGGGGCGCGAGGACGCACGACCCAGGACAGCCTGTCTCGACGGATTCCTTCGCTGCCTGCTACAGAAGGCGAGGGGGTTGGATTAATCGGGCTTCTCGCGGGGCCCGATCCGGTCGAGTCCGGTGGATTACCCCGCCATGAGCCGCACTCTAGCCGGGCAGGCCCAGCGAGCAGCAAGCTGTTGGCGGGCCATGGTCGTGTCCCAACAGTTGTTCGTTGGGGTTTTCTATCGGTGTTAATTCGCATGTAAAATTCGCATGTGCGACGTAGGATTTTGTGAAGTCATCCGTTGAGCTCCCATGCTGTCATTTGACCACAAACCTATGTAGATTTAACTTTATCATTTTTAGCGCCATACGAAGTGTCAACAAATCTATAGGTTTTTTATGGCACAAGCCCGCCACAACCTCCCAATACCGCTGCAACTCCTGTACACCAGGATCTACAGTAGATACAACCATTAAAACATCAGAACACTGAAGTCTGTCGCGTCGCAGGGACTTGAAAACTGTCTTGTATACCGCAACGAAATAAATCAGAAGATATTATTAGGGGAGAAGAAAAAAACTGTAGTTTCCACTTCCCTCGGTGAATTTAATGCAGGAGACAGAATGACTTAAGCCTAAAGGTATAAAAAAGACTGCACGACTAGGAGAAGTGAACTGGGGTTATTGAAACCGAACCGTTCTATAAACATAATATCACGTCTTTGAATCCCTGAC